GTCGATGAACTCTTTGTAGCCCTGGACACCATATAAAGTTATATAACTTTGTAAATATATTGTTAATCTCTATGAAAAGCACAAATACAATTTGTTTTTGACAGATCTTAAGCCACTGTTTTTATGCGATTACCTCCACAATACATTTATTGTGATAAATTGATCTTGGAATGCATATCCTAATGATTAACTAATTTAAGAAATTATATAAGGTATAAATTATAAAAGGTAGAGCAATAGTACTTTTTTATTGTAAAAAAATTAAAGGGTTTGATACAGTTAACGTTATTATTTGATCAAAATGAAGTGAGTGATAGTAAACTATGACTTAAATAGTGGATCATCATAGATAGTTAATGTTAATAAAAGCCTTAAAATTATGAGTGCAATGATATTAGTTTACTACTCATGCTTACATTTTTTAATTTTAGTAAACCCATAGTTTTTCTTCATTCTACAAGATCAGAGAAGATGCCAAATTATTAATCTTACACAATTAGGAACCAAACCGCACTGGGCCAGCGTGGTTGACTATGACCTAATCACCCTAATTTAGGGTAGGCTCCGAGCCCCTCAGTGGGAACATATAGTGAGCTGGTGATGATGATGGTGATGAATTAGGAACCATAATGAACACTTTAATAATGTATTATTACAATGGTAATAAAACAGTCTAAAACAAATTATTGATGAATTGTACGAGAATAACTCAATATGTATGACAAATAACTATAAACATTTATTTGTAAATGCGCTAAAGTATATAATAATTCTGTTTTCTTTTTTTGCATAATAATTGTCCATTTATTGATCAAAGATGAAGGAATTTGTGTTCTTTAACACAATTTACTTAATAAATGTTATTAACAAGCAAACTATTATATCATCTACTTGTGTTAGGGTTTAGTACCTTGAACGTGCAAAAACAACATTCAAACTCAGAAGGCAGCTGATCCAAGTCAAGTTGTTTGTCAGCCATTTTCTTTTCCTAGAAAAGAGAAAATATTATGGGGTTACACTAATCATGTTGCTCCTAAAATTGTTAGTGAACGGTCTAAATCATCACCGATTTTAATTCGAAATATCAATTACATTTACTTGGATATAAATATTGGATATCTTATTTTCAGTAGGTATTTAACTAACAGGCAATTTACATTAAAATCGGCTATGAGTTTATAATACAAGCTATTTGTAAACTACACGGTCATACAAAGTTATATCTAGATGTAGTAGGAAGCATTACTAATAGCTAAGAGTGTAGCGATGCGAGGCTTACTGGTGTGGGCTCAATGAGCAATCGTTTCTCCGGCGAACCAGCGCCCTCTGTCGAGTACCGGCGCTCCTTTTTAGGGCTGCTCTGAAACTACGTCCTTAATGGGTCAGTAACACTCTCACTGATCCACTGCCAAATGGGTGCGTCCAATATTTACACTGAGTGCAATACTGGTATACTAAAAGCGGGACTTAAGTGCCTTGCTTTGTGTCTTTGTTTATGTGGAATTATTAGACTATCTTGAAATTAAAAAAAAAAACTTACACTTGTAACTAACTCAAGTCCGAATCCTTAACTTATGACACAGCAAAAAACATAACTTTTATGTTGTTTTTTTTGTACCTAACGTAACCAAAGAAAGGCTTTAGCAGAAATAACTTACCGCAGCAGTAGCTAAAACATTAAAGTTTTTCATTACTAAAACGGCATAAAAATCTACTATTAAGTAATATAACACAGCCTTACGAGCTAATGTCTAATGATAAAATAATTAAATTAAAAAAATATTCGTTTCACCAACGTACCTCGGTCCTTGTGGTTAAACTTTAAAATACATGAGTTTAATTTATACTGGAAGGTCGCATAAAAGAAAATTAAGCTTCAGCTACTAAAGTAAAAGTGATAACATATGTAAGTATATATGTACGATTAGAAGGATTGGACGCACCCGGTGCGGCGGCGGGCCTCACCTGACGAGCG